AACAAAATACTTATCAGTGTGTGTAATGATCTTGTAAAGAACTATCAAAAATGATTAAAGGCAATAATCAATAATCAAGGTTAAACAATTGATTATACTGAGACAAGAGGGCCAATAATTTTGTCATATGGTAAAATGATTTCATGTGTTTTTTGTATTTTTATTTAACATTAAAATAAAAATTTTATTGTGAGTATCAGTCTGTATTCTTTCAAATCAATTCTTTCATCATTTGTGAGAAAATGCAGATGAAGTTTCCATAAAAATTTCAAGTATTAGAGTTTTATTTGGAATTATATAAGCGAGGGCGAATAATTTCGTCCACAACTATATATATATATATATATATATATATATATATATATATATATATATATATATATAAAGGCAGGATGTGTGTGTGTGTAACGAATGCACGGCTGCAATTTTCGAAGGATTTGCACCAAAATTTACATGCACATGCTCCAAGTTAGCGGGAAGGCCAAGACTGACTTTGCATTTCCCAACTCCCATCGATAGTGGAAATAATCGATTTTTTCATGCTTCTACGGCAATTTTCATGTAGTTTGCGGCCATTTTGTACTGCCCAGAGTGAGAGCCTATAGCTGGCTGCTACGAATAGGCAGGAAGATTCTATTGGCCAGCGTGAGAGCCAACAGCTGACTGACACGAATGTTAACTAGCATGCTAGCATGCAAAAAAAAATCGATAGCTGCATTCGTCACAAGTGGGAAAAATTTAAATCTGCATGGCACGTTACTCCAATTGGCTCATTCGCTTGCTTAAACTCAACGTTGATTCTGATTCCGCAGAACTTGGTTAGGTGTGAAAAAGTATTTGTTGTTAACATTCTTTTTTCATTTGGTTTTTCCAGTTACGAGTCCTTTTTTAAAGCTGATCATTTCGTGTTCATTTTGTTTAGTTCTTTTCTCGTAACAGATTTAATGTTTAGTATAGAGCTTAGAAAAAATTCACAGTGTGAGATAGGCAAGAAGTAAGGCATGTAGCAACATCAGTACGGCAAAGAGCACTCCTTTAAAGGCAAGGAAGGGCAAAAATATTTTAACTCAAGTAATAGCGATTGCTGTATGAGTTCTACGATTTTTGAATCAAGCACGGGCAACGCCGGGCCATATATATATATATATATATATATATATATATATATATATATATATATATATATATAATGAAGAGGTTATAGTTGTTCCAACGAGGAAAAAAGTGTGCATATTAAAAAGAAGAGAGAAACCGCAAACGTTTTTGGTTGTAATGTGGATTTAAAAAAATATATATTATGCTTTATTTTCCATAATTTTGCTACACGTGATTCCGGTCTCGTGACTGTCATTGGGCAAAGGGTGGAGATTTCCACATATTAAAATAATTAATTTACTAAATCTTGGAAAAGATACTTCTGGAAATCCTCATGGGGTGATATTAACCAATTCCACACTTTACTTCAAAACTTACACCCAAAAATGAAATATAATTTTAACGAATTACCATTTTAGATATACTCATTAGAAATAAAAACAACCATATAATAACAGATATCTACACACATACCTACAGACACCCAACAATACCTTCATTTCAAGACCCATCACCCAAAAAGCTGCCTAAAATCCATCCCCTATTCCCTAGCACGTAGGGTTTGTACTATAGTGACTAATAAACACCTCCAAAAAACCTGCCTAGAAGAACTACATAAAATTGTAAAAAAAACAAAATCAAAACGAGGCTACCAAACAACACTAATAAACAAAAAAAATCCTCTAGACCAACTTAGAAATCCAAAGAAACGAAACATGGAACCAACTCTAGCATATGTCTCAACAATCTCAACAAAAACAATCCAGAAATATTCACAGAAATTACAAAAAAATCTACACCTACTTAGCAAGAATAATAAACTGAAAAATATACTGAAAACAACCAAAATAATTAAAAGCAAACGCCAATCTAAAAACCTAAAACACATATTAACCTCATCTTAATTTAACCAACACACAATACAGGGAGTCACAAAATGCAACAAAAAAAGATGTGGGGTTTGTGACATCATTATAGAAGGAAACTCCTACACTTTTGAAAACCCCAAAACGACATTCACAATAAATAAAAATTTAAACTACAACTCCAAAAATGTGATTTATGTACTCAAATGCATAAAATGCAAGAAGTCATATTTAGGTATCAGCCAACAACTGAACAACAGGGTCTCCCTGCACAAAAGCAATATAAAATTACCAAACAACAGAAAACTTTCTTTATCACAACACACATCTTCAAATGTCACCAGGGAACATTTAAAATTATGCCAATATACCAAACAGACAATTATTCTTACCTACACATACAACAAAAAAACTTCATAAACAAATTTAAACCAGAAGTAAATAGATCATAACCCAACACGCAAAAACACACAACATACACACATAATGGCCAAATACAGTGATCAAACCACACACATACATGTACGCACGCTCACATGCGGGTGTCTGTCAGGCACGAATGTATATATATATACACATATTGACAAAAGCAGAACTACTCACAGGCACGCACACAAACCCCACACAACTTAGGAAGTATGTGTGTATGTGTGTACGAATATGTGTATGTATATATGTGTGTGTATACTGATTCCATGTAACTTGGGAAGTATGTGTATGTACGTATGTGTGTATGAGTGTGTGTATGCGTGTGTGTATGTACTGATTCCTTGTAATGGGACGGTATGTGTGTGTGTTTGTGTGTGTGTGTGTGTATACAGATGTGTTCACTGATTCCTCGTATTGAGACAGTGTGTATGCATGGAGAGGGGATACACACACACACACACACACACACACACACATATATATATATATACGCATGCTGACAAAAACACACGAAAATGGAAATAGATCTAAGAACACACAGGGGTCATTAAAAGATAAGAATGCCGATAACTACTCTATCATTTCTCGGACCAATCTTAATTGTTTTATAACCCATTACGCAGAACTCTTCACCAGTTCAAGAAAGACATTTGGGTTACTAACACAGAAAAAGAGTGTGTCTTATATCGAGAATATTTAACATCGAGAAACATAAGGGGAAAAAAAATTATTTTTAATAATATGTGGAAATCTTCACCCTTTGACTGATGACGGTCGCGAGACCAGAAACCCGTGTAGCAAAATTGTGGAAAATAAAGCATAATATTTTCAAAAAAAAATCTACATTACAACCAAAAACGTTTGCGGTTTCTCTCTTCTTTTAATATATATATATATATATATATATATATATATATATATATATATATTATAAATTAATTGATTTAAAATATGTTTTTTCGCTACACAGTTCTAACCATGTTTCAAAAATGGAAGCTAAAAGCTCGAATTTAATTTTGTAATTAATATATATATATATATTAATTACAAATATATAAACACAAACACACACACACACACACACACACACACACACACACACACACACATATATATATATATATATACACACACACATATATATATTAATTACAAAATATATATATATGTGTGTGTGTATATATATATATATGTGTGTGTGTGTGTTTATGTATGTGAAAGTGTCATTAAAGACGACTGAAAGATACTGAGATTAAATACCTCATTTTCGATATTAGATACGTATTTGTCGTAAAACTAGCTTTTTTTTTTTTTAATCTGAAGTTTGTAGTGTTATTACTTTTCTTGTTGGCTTCCGGCTCATGTAATTTAATAATTGTGTATTTGGGAAACAATACCTCTTTTACACAAGTTTCATTTCTTGTTAGTCATCTTTAATGGAACTTGTATAAAATTTAGGAATAACCAATTTTGAAGTTTACGTATCGTTATAAGCATGTTCATTCGTCGCTTTGAAATAGATACCCAACCCTAACTTGACCTCTCCCTGAAGGTGACTAATATGTTAAAATTAACTCTTAGGCCCCTTATCAAAAATGGTCGCCCCAGCCGTTTCCATAGTAACGAATGAACATGCTTATAACGATACGTAAACTTCAAAATTGGTTATTCCTAAATTTTTGCTTGAGGATGAAACAGGGCTTGTTACTTTAACTCAATTTAATTTTAATAATTATATTGATTGTTTTGGGTCTCGTTTTTGAAACATGAGAACTCTGATGTAGCGAAGGAATCGTATTTTAAAAAAATAATTATAATAATATATATATATATATATATATATATATATATATATATATATATATATATATATGAAAATTTCTCCGATTTAACCAGTAGAGAAGACAATATTTATGAATAAAAATGACAATAGGAAAACTGGAAATTGCTGACGCGTTTCGTCCAATGTAGACTTTAACAAAGCAAAAAAAGGAAGTCCACATTAGACGAAACGCGTCAGCAATTACCAGTTTTCCTATTGTCATTTTTATTCATATATATATATATATATATATATATATATATATATATATATATATATAGAATATATATATATATATATATATATATATATATATATATATATATATATATATATATATATATATGTGTGTGTGTGTGTGTGTGTGTCAAACACAAATATTAGAGCTGGGCATTTTAGAATATAGTCCTGGAATTAAATTCTAAACAACTTCTCCACAAAATAAATTTGATTTATGTGTTCTTATGCGTCGATAAGTCTATGTTTAAACTTATTTGCTTATAATGACTGGACTGCGTAGCTGGACGTATATACAAGTCTGTATATATTTAAAACGCTCCACGTGATATTAAAAAAGCTTAGTCTTGAGAGGAATGGCGCAAAACATTAACATACGTGATTTTATTTCACTATTCTTTCAAGACGATCAAGCGCAAGTGATATAAAATTTTTGTTTCCTACGATTTTTGACATTGAAAAATTGTGGAGTATGGTTGGGAGGAGATGAAAAACATTTCGCAGTTGAAAGCGCTGAAGATGGATGGGAAGTGGTTTAGCTGTAGTTGAACAGATTTAGAGAGAGAAAGAGAGATTGACCGAGAGACGGAGAGGGAGAACGTGGGAAAGAGAGAGAGAGAGAGAGAGAGAGAGAGAGAGAGAGAGAGAGAGAGAGAGACAGAGACGGCTCAATGATGAGGATTCTGGTGAATATACATGATTAGGCTTACACAAAGATGGGCAAGAAATAGATAGGCTGATAGACATGTACAATAATATATATATATATATATATATATATATATATATATATAGGAATACTTATATTTGACATTTTACATAGATAGATACACTGACATGAACAGCCAGCTAGATGAATATATATATATATATAGATAGATAGATAGATAGGAAGGAAGGAAGGAAGGAAGAGATGGAGAAGTAGAGACAGATAGGAAGAGACGGAAATGGATACAGAAATAGATAGACATGAACATAGATAGATAGATAGATAGGAAGGAAGGAAGGAAGGAAGGAAGGAAGGAAGGAAGGAAGGAAAAAGAACCCGGGATAGATAGATAGATAGATAGATAGATAGATAGATAGATAGATAGATAGAAAGGAAGGAAGGAAGAGACGGAAATAGATACAGAAATAGATAGACAGACATGAACAGTAATAGATAGATAGATAACTAAGAACAGTCACTGAGAGATCGATAAATATGAACTCATAGATAGATAGATAGATAGATAGGAAGGAAGATAGATGGACAGACAGACAAGTAAATACAGACGTAGATAGATAGATAGATAGATAGACAGATAGACAAGTAAATACAGACGTAGATAGATAGATAGATAGATAGATAGACAGATAGACAAGTAAATACAGACGTAGATAGATAGATACATAGATAGATATAAAGATACGAAGAGACAGAAATAGATACAAAAATACATAGAAAGACATAAACTGTCATAGTTAGTTACCTGATGAGACATTATTAAACGTCGAAACAACATGTACAATTTTGTAGTAATTACATGTTTTAATGTAATATATATATATATATATATATATATATATATATATATATATATATATATATAGATAGATAGATAGATAGATAGATAGATAGATATGAATAATCATACATAGATATGGACAGTCATCGATAGATAGCTCGCAATACAACACCCGAAAGCAAAATGGTAAAGAAAAAGTATAAAGGCAGCATTAATTCATAGAAAAGAATGCTAAAGTGTTTTTTTTAAAGAAATTGTAAGGAAAAACAAACATTCAACGAGATATGGGTGGCGTGCATTCAACATGGGCCACTGAAAAGTTGAAAATTTATCAGTAAAATCAGTCCATATTAACGACTGCAAAAGGAATAGACGGTGGGATTTTGCACTTATAAAAAATAAAACACGAAAAAAATGATAAAATTCTTCATTAAATCTATCTATCTCGGTCCGGTCATATCTATCTATCTGTCTAAATTCTGTTCATCTATATAAAGAGAGAGTGATAGACAGATAGCTGAGAACAAAGATAGATAGATAGATAGATAGATAGATAGATAGATAGATAGATAGATAGATAGATAAGGAACAGACTGTGATAGATATGAACAGGCTGAGATAGATAGATAGATAGATAGATAGATAGATAGATAGATAGATAGATATGGACAAACTGCGGCAGATATGATTCTTTTTATTCTAGTTCTCAACCTTTGATGTCAACGAATACTCGTTAACATTGTCGTAATGCTCGTTGTAGTAGAGACTTTGTAATCGCAGATGCAACTATAGTAACGCCGTTGAACAACACTAGTGCCAGACGCCTTCGAATAACACTCGCACTAATAATACTTGCTCGATAATACTCGCTTGAATAGTAACCACCAAATAGTGATCCGAATAGAGAAATAGTATAGTGAATAGAGTAGAGAATTGCGGTCCGTATAGTAATAGAGGATAGACTAGAAATGCAGATCGTTAGTCGTCAGCTACACCCCACATATATTCGTTTCCTATATGGTCACGTGGTTTAATTACTTCAATGATAGGATCGCCTGTGTTCATTCATTGGAGATCTATGTTGAGACCTAAGTGTTGGCAGCAACAATTTATTCCTATATAACACAGCCTATTCCAGACATAGCATCTATCTATCTATCTATCTATCTATCTATCTATCTATCTATCTATCTCAGTCTGTTCATATCTACCACAGTCTGTTCCCTATCTATCTATCTATCTATCTATCTATCTATCTATCTATCTATCTCAGTCTGTTCATATCTATCAGTCTGTTCCCTATCTATCTATCTATCTATCTATCTATCTATCCCAGTCTGTCTATATATCTATCCCAGTCTGTTCCCATCTATCTATCTATCTATCTATCTATCTATCTATCTATCTATCTATCTATCTATCTAGTCTATCTATCTATCAGTCTGTTCATATCTATCTATCTATCTATCTATCTATCTATCTATCTATCTATCTATCTATCTCAGTCTGTTCATATCTATCACAGTCTGTTCCCTATCTATCTATCTATCTATCTATCTATCTATCTATCTATCTGGCACCCTAACAGGTGATACCACTCTGGGTCAGTGTGGACCTGGGAATAACAATAATTAAGAGGTGGTGTCGCGCTATACAAAACCTCCAAATCAGAGGCCTTGCTCCCGGATGCAGTTTATCGTCATACCGCGGACTCAAGTCTTGGGTCAACTATTGTATTCTTCAGATATCCCCATAAATTGCACCTCTTACTCGGTAAACCTTTATCTTGGCTCTTGTACACGCTGAAGATAAGTGTCATCAGTTAATATATATCTGTTAAAGAATTTGACAAAATAACTTGAAATATCCTGACGCTGAAATTGAAAATGATAGCAAGCCGAACTTTAAAATCCCTGTTTCCCTTATCGTAATTGGATTGGATCAAGGTTAGATCAAGATGGGATCAAGGTTGGATCAAGATGGGATCAAGACGGGATCAAGAACAGTACAAGCAAAAATAGGATCGTCACAAAAAATATGGCGACAGGAGAAACTTGGAGTCTATTCCACTTTTGAGAAAAATCGTCGAACAAGTGTTAAGAAGAGGCCAGGCCACACAACTTGAATACCAGTAAACTTGAATTTTCGACCGATTCGTTCTTGGACCTTCTCTCAGCAGAGCATCCTTTCTGTATCGGCCTGGTAAGCTATCAGCAGCCTTGCAACAGAAGTGAGACGTATTCCGATAGCGTCATTTTCGAAAGCCAAATAACAACAAACAGGAATAGCATTAATAATAATAATAATAATAATAATAATAATATATGCGAGTGTATTTATATCTAGCCAAAAGAAATAAAAACACCTCAAACCCGAATTTACGTATATAGCGACTCAAGATGAAAGCGACAGGTTCTTTAAGGCAAGCAATTATGAGAAATTTTCAACACAATAGACGAGACTTCAATAAGAAAAATAACAATTACCTGTCTACTTGCTCAGACAAAAGCTTTCAAATTGAGAGAGAGTTTTGGTGCATATACACAGATCTACAAATACAATATATATATATATATATATATATATATGGATAAGTTCGATAAATATAATGAATATAATGAAATGAAAAATTGAAAGAATTGGTCTCCATATCTTTTACAATCACCATATATATATATATATATATATATATATATATATATATATATATATATATATATATATATGTATGTATGTATGTATGTGTGTGTGTATTTATGTATATATGTAAACATATATATCGAAATTTTTCTTTTAAACTTTCTTATATTATTTTGAATAATAAATGATTTCTAAATAATTGTAAAAAGTTTCTACACCCATTGTCAAAGTTAGCAGACACCAACATATATGAATAGGTTTATAATTAAATTTAGAAAATAATAGTAGTACTTAGTACACACACACACACACACACACACACACACACACACACACACACATATATATATATATATATATATATATATATATATATATCATTAGCGAATTTTGACATTATTATTATTATTATATATTTTGATATACGATATATATTTTTATATATCATAACAATATTGGAGAAAAATATATGACAAAAATGGAAAACGTTTTCTTGTGACGACTGTATATGCTCACGAATGTGGAATGCTGGGAATTTATTTATTTTTTTAAATTTTATTTTTTCTTCTAATTTTTTTAAACTTAAAAAAAATTAAATTTAAAAAAAATTCTAAATTCACAGCATCTGTCGTTTTTTCGTATGTTCACTTTTCCCATTTCTATACATTTTTTCCTAAGCAATAATAACAATTACATGTAATAACAATCATCAGGCGTATTTAATCTGATTCATTTCATCCAGCGTGTGCCAGGTATATACTAACCCGGATGTATGTTTTAGTATATATATATATATATATATATATATAGCATATCTTTAAAAACATCTTATTTCGTCTTGGTGTTTACCTGTAAATGGAAATATTGGGCCATGAAGATGATAATTTGAAATTGTCGAAAGTACTCGGCCAAGAATCATCAATCCCATCTGACAATAATTCAAAATAGGGATCGTGTTATTCAAGGAATTGATAGTAAGTTAATGTCTCATTAATCTTGTTAGCGAAGTGATATCGCGATTAATTATATTAACATTGCCAATTAATTCTTTGTATGATTCCTTCCTTATGATAATATATATATATATATATATATATATATATATATATATATATATATATATATATATATATATATCTTGTCCTGCAAAACCTTAGGTGTTTTAGCTTGTAAATGAACAAACCAATACCCAAGGGAAAAAAGGGTAAAAATAAGAACTAAGAACATGTACTTCCGACGAAAATAATCATCTAGAATCCAAGCTCAGAGTCCAAAGAAAAAAAAACTCTGACACGAGTAAAGTAAAACTAACTAAGCAAAGTGCTCAATACACTAAGTATAGCAAACCAGGTAAACCTAAAGAGTCAGACAAACCTACCTAGGTTACACGCACGCGTGATTCACCCTGACGATCCGAGTAGGTGAAACCTAAGTTTGTCTGTATATATATATATATATATATATATATATATATGTAAAAGTGAACATAGAAGTCAACACTTACAGGCGACAGTCTGTTTCATGCTAGATGCAATCGTAGCCTGACGATTGCGTCTAGCATGAAACAGACTGTCGCCTCTAAGTGTTGACTTGTATGTTCACTTTTATATTTACACACGCTCTATCTCTGAAATTGAGCACTTTATCCCATAAATATAGCACACCTTAAGACTATATTTTTTTTATATATATATATATATATATATATTAAAGACATTTTTATGTTTAACGTTCTTTTTATAGATACAAGTATTTAAGTAAATGCTCTGTTTATAATAAACAGTATTAAATAACATTTACCGGCCTGAATGTCCGAGAAATTTATTATAAACAGAGCATTTACTCAAATACTTGTATCTATAAAAAGAATGTTAAACATAAATATGTCTTTAATAAATTGTCGGGCTTTGTCCATTTCTTATATATATATATATATATATATATATATATATATATATATATATATATATATATTGCATACATGTTAATAAAATAGTGTTCGATGTAATATAACAGAGCTATTAATTATATATTAATAAATATTCATATTATTCCTCATCGGAGTTTCGTGCACAACGCAATCCTCAGCACCTGAAATACTTTACAAAATTTCAACCTTTGACCCCCCAAAAAATGTAATATTTCAACCCCAAAGGACTGCTTAATTAAAAATTGCTCAAAAGAATTTTAAACAAATGAAAATGAAGGCTATGTTAAGATATAAAAAATCGACCTTTATCCTACCACAGTTTCTACCCCAATAGTATCAACAGGCATCAACTTTTGTTTATGTGCCGTGCTCATCGGGACATAGTTGATCATAGCTCTCCACAACTTCCTCTCCTTTGCAGCTCTTAATAAACTTTGTCTTTTTGTTATTCCTCTTAAACCCTGTTCCACTATCCATTTACTCAGACTAATTACTTAAGGGTTGTTTTAGCTCTCTCTATCAGTTTTTTTTTTGTTTCCATTTTCTCGAAAATCGCGTCATTGCTTACATGTTTGGTCCACGGTATCCTCAGCATCCTTCTGTAGAACCATATTTCTACTGATTGATGAGATCGTCAAGCACTCAGTAGACAACAGCGAGAAGTAAATTTCACTCAAACAGCTTCTTCCAGCGAGCCACTGCTGTGCGGAACCGACTCTCAAGAGGATGTTTCCCCAATCACTACAATGTGAACCTGTTCATGTCTAGACCTAACCTTTATTTTTCCCTTTTATCAGTATAAAGTACTCCTTGACTTAACGGTTGCGAGTGGGTCTGAGCTTTGTATAGATTAAACCTTAGTGTAAAAAAAAACAAACAAAAAAACACCTAACCTAATCATGAGAAATAACATCGCGCCGACGAAATCAAAACTATACCAGATTAAGATTATTTATAAAATCAAATGGCCTATTAAATGATCGACGAAAATAAACTTATAAATATTTATGATGAATACATCCTCACACGCCTACCAAGACAGACGAAGCTCCTTGACCAATAGGGACAAATTTAAACGAGTACGGAAGCGTACCAACCTCAGTACACAACAGGTACGTCTTGAGCACGAATATGATACGTACCTCCAAATAAAAAAAAATGTTTAAAAGTAATGGAAGACATTATTATATATACAGTCAACTAATAATATTAAAGGTTAAATGTTAAAAATACTTATATATACACATATGTATATGCACACGCACACAGATATAGATAGAGATAGTGTTTGAAGATTATATTTTATATTTCGTAAAGAAACAATTTATACAAAGAATTAAATAGCAATGTTAATGTGGTTAATGGTTCAGTACCCTTTTTTTCTCATTTTTTGCGATTTGTTCCTATTTCATAGTACCCTGTTCAGCTTTTAAAATGCTTCCTTGTGTACGCTAATACGCCTTCGAATCTCAATGTTACACTCTCCGTCCTATAGTTTTTCAAATAATTCTTAAAATCGATAATAATCTCTTTTTTTTTAAAAAGAGAAACATATTTTCCTTGTTGTTATGGTCCACGGTGATGGTCCAAGGTTAGAACCAATGAAAGAATAACACGAACACAGATATGGAATAAAAGATATATTACAACAGAAATATAATACAAAGAAGTAGAAGTATTAGTAATGACTATCAGATTTGGTTAGAGTGAACTATGTCGTCTCGACAAGTATCACTATTCCAATGTCCTTACAATATGCTCTCAATTATCTCCCCTCGTCTTACAATATCCTCATACCTCTTGAGAGGCGCAGTATTTATAATGTCAGGAATAGTCCATTATTATTATGGGTAAGTTCCCATAACACTTTTTAAAATAAAGTTTAGATCACGACTACGCTTCCTCCCTAACCATAGTGTCGTATTATGTATAAGTTCTTGAAATTTTCTTCGATCGGGTTACTCGTCAAAAGTCCTAGAATCATTCTGGAATCTTTTGGTCAGCACCCCCCAATTTTTTTCAGCACCCACGTTTACATGAAATTAGTCGTCTCGTAAATATTGTTATAGGTGGTGGCCCCTAACGAGCGTACGGCTTGGGAACATCAGCTGTGAAATTCTTCTCAAATGTTGGAAATAACTACAGACCACCATGAAGGCTTAGTCATAAAACGACATTATTTATAATATGTATTAGATGTAAATAAATATATCAGACATGATGGTAAACATTTTTATGTTATCTGGTTGATGTAATAAGAGACAGGTTTGTGGAGAGGGTGTGAGCGTGCTCGCACGTGTGAGTGTGTGTGTGTGTGTGTGTGTGTGTGTGTGTGATGTCTGTCTCCGTTGCTTTTTCCCCCACAAGTCTTTCTCAAACGACGCTACTTTTCATCTTTCTTTCTTTATTTCTTTCTTTCTTTCTTTCTTTCTTTCTTTCTTTCTTTCAAGGTTTGCTTCTGTCTTATTTTTCACACTCTTTCTCTCTCTCTCTCTCTTTCCATTTCTCTTCGAACAATTTGGTCATAAAATACGTCTTTCTGCTCATCTTTTTCTCAACCATTATATTTCACTTTATCTATCTCAATCATTATCTATCTATCTATCTATCTATCTATCTATCTATCTATCTATCTATCTATCTATCTATCTATCTATCTATCTATCTCAGTCTATTCATTATCTATCTATCTATCTATCTATCTATCTATCTATCTATCTATCTATCTTATCTATCTATCTATCTATCTATCTATCTATCTGAGACTGTTTATTCTTATTTTTCTCAATCTATTTCTTTCTATCTATCGATATATCTGTCTAAAACCTTTTCTTTCTTTCCTTCTTTTTTCTTTCTAAATCATTTTCTACATCTAGCTATCTATATTCATATTTATCTATCTCAATCTATTTCTTTCTATCTATCTATCTATCTATCTATCTATCTATCTATCTATCTATCTATGTTTATATTAACGCCTCTTTCCGTCTGTATCTATTTCATTATTTATTTATTTATTTCTTTTTATCTATCTATCTATCTATCTATCTATCTATCTATCTATCTCAATCTATTTCTATCTATCTATCTATCTATCTATCTATCTATCTATCTATCTATCTCAATCTATTTCTTTCTTTCTTTCTATCTATCTATCTATCTATCTATCTATCTAGCTGTTCATATTTATGTACATAAATCTATTTCTTTCTTTCTTTTTTTGTTTCTTTCTTTCTTTACATGTTCCTATCTATCTATCTATCTATCTATCTATCTATCTATCTATCTATCTATCTATCTCTGTTCATATTTATGTACATAAATCTATTTCTTTCTTTCTTTCTTTCTTTCTTTCTTTCTTTCTTTACATGTTCCTATCTATCTATCTATCTATCTATCTATCTATCTATCTATCTATCTATCTATCTATCTCTGTTCATATTTATGTACATACATCTATTTCTTTCTTTCTTTCTTTCTTTCTTTCTTTCTTTCTTTCTTTCTTTCTTTCTTTCCGTGTTCATACTTATCTATCTATCTATCTATCTATCTATCTATCTATCTATCTATCTATCTATCTATCTAAACCTTATTTCTCTCTCTCTCTCTCTCTCTATCTATCTTCCTTCATGTTTATCTATCTCAATCTATTTCTTTCTTTCTTTCTTTTCACAATCATTTCATATCTATCTTATGTCCACATCTACACATAATGACCAAAAATTCTTGCGCATTTTAATTATTAACACCAACTAAAATTAAAACCACAGAATTAATGAAACTCTTTTGCAATGTAAACAAAAAAAATCATTTCATGAAAACTAAGTCGCAAATACGTTTGATATCTTTGTTCAAATAACGATTTCAATCCGCAAAATATTCAAGTAACAAAACCGAAACTTCTATGAACCGACAAATCGAGCAAAACCTATTCGCTGTATTTGTTTTCAAAGGAAAAAAAAAGAATTGCCGTGTAATTAATTAATAGGCATTTGATCTTTTTTGATGAAAGTGTAAATTAAGTTTCAAACAATAGCCCAACAGATTCCATTGCTGGAACCTCCACCCTCCTCCAAGAACCATGTGCGCACACACACACATATGTGTGCGTGTGTACGCATACGAAACTGCGTGTGTGCAAATACGGGTCTGCAGTTTGATACAGTTCAATGCACTTTGGCATTTTCTCTGTACGATGTTCAGGCAATGTGTTGAATGGTGAAAACGTTTATTAAGTGCATTGACATAGAAGAAGCTTAATTTGAAAAATATGTGTAGCGCAATTTTTTTGTTATTATCATAACGTTTCAGCCTCTGTGGACTTCGTCAGATTCTTGTTCCGCTTTTGATATCTAGGGATATCTTTATTTATATTTGAACCAATGTTCTCATATTTACTGTTACGGAGGTCTTTCGAAATGTTCTAAGCCTCACCCAGGAAGAAGATTTATATCCAAAACTTTTTGTTGAGGCAACACACTAAATCTAGAAAAAGCTATTTCAAATTTCAGTCTTAATTTTTATGCAGGTGAGGCCCATACGAAAGTGGGAAGCGAGCGACAAATTTAAAAAAAAAGGTACCTGCAAAAGAAAAGTATGAGAACCAAGAAAATCTATGAGGACATGCTACAGACACTTGCTGAGGGACTCCACTTTCTATACAACTCTGAAGAAGGGGATCTGCAGCATTCAAGCAGGGCGGGGACAGCACAGAAGATGACCCCCGGTCAGGTCGTCCAAAAACCTCAACCACTGATGAACAAGTTGATGTCATTCACTGTATAGTTTTGGATGAGAGTTCAAGCAAGCAGGTGATGGCTTATGTTTTGTTTTTATTCTGAAAGCGTAATCATGATAGACAATATAGCCTTTTTCTCCTAAGTCCACAGATGCACATTGTCTGAAAACATGTTTTCTTTATTCTTTCTCTATTTTAATATTACATTAGTACAGCCGAGTTCGTTTGTATCCAGGATATGACGATAGACTACATCCGGCAGCAAGGCCTCTGATCAGACGGTTTCACGAGCGTGAAACCACTTAATTGCTGTTGTTCCCAGGTCCACGCTGAACCGGGGTGGTAACACCTGTTAGGGTTCCATCAATGGGCAAATAGTTAACCCTAAAACCGGGATTAAAAACACTATGAAAATATAAAATAGATTTTATAGTAAAAATACCAGCAATACATTTTTGAAAAAAAAATATTACCAGCAATACATTTCTTACATATTCTATTCATACGAACCTATCCTAAAAATCTTGCCGGCATTAAATAACCCATTTAGGTTGATATACCGTAAAACAAAATAAAACAATAAATAAAACCCAGTTTGTTTGGGTGCACTTAGCATAGCACTAATCTTCCATCAACTTGAGGTTGTATCCTGATGTATTACCGTGGATATAATCATTATTACCAAATAAGGAAAACAAAATATGACTGGAAGATTTCCAACAGCGGTAACAACAAAAGTGGATAGCACGTGCATATAGAAGAGAAAATAATTATATAATGAAGATACTGACTTTCCAGACTACCGTAAAAAGATCTGGAAGGAAAAGCTAATCAATACAAGATAACAATAACAGGGGATTGTTTCCAGTTCAGAAAACAGAATTGCGTCTAGTTCAATTTTCGGCTGATGCTAGATTACTTTAATTAGCACTAATAACCTCAGAGAAAACATGTATCCACTTAAGAGGGCCGTTAAAAAGTTCTTAGCCTTACACGGAAAGAAGAGTCATAGCTGAACATTTTTCTTGTGGCAACACATCATCATTTCGTATAAAACTAGAAAACCTAATTCAGATTTCTGCTTTGACATATATACTTATATATCTTCACTGGGCTATTATCTCGTTTTTTTAATTTGGTTTGGTGATATAAATATTAATTGCAGGAGGTTAGATTCATAATTAAATTTATACGATTGTGAATAGTCACATCTGTGCACATATAGGAACATGTACACACATTTCTTTGCTTTCTTATTAATAAAATAGTGCTGAACACTCAGAGGCCCTCTGAGTGTTGACTTCAATGTTCACTCATGCGTATAAGTATATATGTTTAATATTTGTTCGTTTATTTATTTATTAATAATTTAAGTTCATATTATATTTGTTTCATTTATTTAAAGTTTATATTATATTTATTATATTTAGATTTATTTCTTATTTTTAATTGGTGCTTTGATAGCAAAGTAAGTATTTATTTATATGCCTACATTTACTCATTATTTCAGTTTTCTTGTTTAAGTGTTCATTTTGTTTTTTAAAACTAATTATTGCTAATTTTTCATTTAAGCATAATTTATAATTTTTGCTGTTAATACAGTAGAGAACTGCTCTTTTTATAATTTCCCATTTGATTTTGGTGGGGATATTGATTTCTTTTTGCCTCCAAATGAATTTTGATAGGGGTGTAGTTTTTGTATATTTTTTTTCTTTCGAATGGTATTTTGCGGTTATAATATCTTTAAAAGTTTTTGTTTTCTATTTTTTCGTTTGTGTTAATTTTATTAGTTACGATAGCATTGTATATTATGTCACTAGTTAAACATTTCATGTTAAGTGTTCATTTTCTTTTTTGATTCTGCAGTTACATTTAATATTGTTATTTTGCTGAATGTTGTTACTGTTGTTGTAATTGTTATTGGTTTTGTTGAGTTATTTTTTCATTGTGTTTAGTTATTATTTTCTCAGCTTACCCATACAGCTGTAACTAATTTTGATTGTATTTTTGTTGATAATTGTTGATAAGTTACTGTTTTTAGAGAAGTGTTTGTCAGTTATTTTGAAGAATATTTTTCCTATTTTCGTTTTTATTATATTGGTATGGAGGTGGATGGACCAAATTATATTTCTTTTTCTGTTTTTTTTTTTGTTTTAATTGTTTTCCTTTTTCTATTCTAGTTTGTTTGAATATCCGCTGTTTCTTAGGACTGATTCATATGTTTTTTGTTTTTTTTTTTTCATTGAATATTTTAGGCTACCAACATTTTTTGAAATTCTTTTATTTATAGATATGGGTATTTCTTTAAATACGTTAGAGGGTAGTCAGAATTTTCGTTAATATAATGAATTGTTGTTTGGTTTTCTGTGTGGTTTGTAGGTTCTGTTGTTTAGGCTGAATAATATATCTAAAAAATTATTATTTTGATTGGATTTTATATCTAAAGTAAATGCTAGGGTTTTGAAGGCTTTTATTATTTCTTGTTTTGTTTTTTCCTGTGGTTCTGACGTAGCAGGTTCTTAGAATTAATAGACCGTCGTTCCTATATAGACCTATATCTTTTTGTTAATAATATTAATATTATAAAGACAAAAGGAAAACTTATCTTTGCCGTCGCGTTTCGTCTTCTGATGGACTTTATCAAAGCAAAAGTAAGGATTTCATATTGTGAAAAGTGTTTATATACAAGAGAAAAAATGTGATTGGGTTTTCAAAATTTTTGCTATAGGCGTGCTCATGAATATTCACCAGGTTAGCGGAAAGGTTAAGCGAGTTCATCGAGACGAAGCGATACAATCTAATGCTGAATAAACGAAAGTGATTAGGAGATTTTTTGTTATATATATATATATATATATATATATATTAGTATTTAAATTATTTTGTATTGGGAATGATTTATGTATTATATGTTTTGAATAACGTGAGGTTATGGATTTAACCATTTTATTTTAGTTTTTGGTATTCTGTAGTATTTTGTGACCTTTTAATTTTTTTTTTTTTTTGTATGTATATATATATATATATATATATATATATATATATATATATATATATATGTGTGTGTGTGTGTGTGTGTGTGTGTGTGTGTGTGTGTGTGTCCATATACGTAACCCACCAATCTGCCATTGGGTGGTATGCCACTAACGTTTACTGCTGGTGGCGCGCTTTTGCAAAGCCGGCGTGTTCATCCCGGCATTGTTACCAACTGCGGGCAGCTAATCAACCCACCATTGATCCTCCCCCAGCGGTCCTCTCGTGGTAGTCACAGGCGGCCCGCTAGCAGGCCACGAGCGTCTTGCGTATTGGGTGTGTATGTGTGTTTGTGTGTATGTAAACATAAAATAGAACCCTTTTTAGTATTAACTATAAACACAGCTACAATCTACCCGCAAAAGATGGAAATTAAGATGATATGTACTTTCAAAAAAGTTTATACCAATAGCATTTAAACACCATTTATTATAGTAGCATAAAAAAATCTCCAACGAAATAGTTTATCCGAGGAACAAATAAACATTTGGACAATTAAGTCTGGAAAAGAAGACATTTGTAATCATACAGGAAATACGTAAGGAAAAATAAAGGCACCATTTTTTTTCGTTTTTTAAAAGAAATGGCAATTTTTCACTTTCTTTAAGAAAATCAACATTACACTCAATATCAAAATTGCGATTTGCTGTGATAAGTATCGACCCGTAAAATTTAGATTAAGAGCTTTTACTGCCTTTTGAGCATTTAGTTTTAAATATCGTCTGAAAAAATGTATAGAAAACCTAATTTCTGCAGGTGTTTGCTTACAAAATAACTTTAAAAAAAGTTACTATTTCAAAAATAAATCCAAATAAAGTTGATATTTTCACATTAGATAAACTGAATGAAAAATATGTTTAAACCAGAATTCTAATTATGACTCACCACAAGAAGAATTTCCAATATTTTTTTTACTGTCTTTGA